TACATACACACAATGGAATATTATGCTACCTTGAAGAATAACAAGGAAGCTGCAAGCCACCACATAACATGGATAAACTTGAGGACATTATGTTGAGTGAAATTAGTCAGTCACAAAAGGCGAAATACTGAATAGGACCATTATTGTAAAAGATTAAGAAGTACACATGAAAAGGGGGGATAAAAATTATTTGCTGGTTACCAGGGTATATGGGGTGGGGTGAGGGGAGGGATGGGAATGTGGAGCACAGGGTAGAGACTAGACACAGGAGAGTTTGGGTTCTGGGGGATAGTTTGGTATGGGATACCTTTGAAGGGGGAGGGAAAAGGAAGAACAAATCAGATGGGAGAACATGTATGTAGGTTTGCATGGGCTAAATGGGATAGAGGTAAATAGTGATGTAAGCACAGCCTTGGAACAACAGGGCTCAGGGATACAAGGATGACACATGGTTTGAATGGGTAAAAGTAGGGAAACAATATTAAGATTCTTGGTTATCTTTTGAATCCTGGTCTCCCTGGCATACCATGATAAAATAGACACTTGACGGGGAGAGAAAGGAATAGCCAGAAACATCACCATACAAAGCTTGTAAGTCCATGTTCAGCCTATAATGGATTGGATTATAATGATCAGAATATCTAAAATGGGGCTACAACTTGCCCAGTGAAGAAGGCTTCCTGCGGAGTCTTTGCATGGCATGAGACCATAGGTGGAATACTGATCCCCATCCCGAATCTTCTCAGGTGGGAAATTTCCACTTGAAAGGACAAGCAGACCAGCCTGGAACAGCTAGAAGAACAGAAGATACTTCTTGAAAGAAAGAGCAGCAGGAAAAATCAAAAACAGTAACAGAAGTCTGATTGACTACTACAAGAATAAGCAAGTTATTCCCCAGGGAACCATCAAGGCAAGTGGTCAGGTCCCCTCATGCAAACCCCCTTCCAAGACTAAAACTCAAGGTGAATACAACAGCAGGTATGTGCTCTTGCAGCTGACCATGGTGGTCACCAATAAGGGGAAGTGGGGAAAAAACAGGAATGAAGTTGGAACTAAGTCCAACCACATTCAATAGATGCCTATTAACCTGGACTGAGACCTGGTTGGCCAGCCTTATGATGAGACCTGAGGACTCCTGGGCCCAGGTACAGGGACATGGCCACAGAGGACTAGAGCAGAGTGTGAGGAGCCCAGCTGATATGAAGTGAGGGGAGATGCACAAGAACACCCATACTTGCAGATAGTACCCACCTGACCTGGCTTCAATGGCTGGATGATCAGAACTAGACTAGAGGGAGAAAGAAGAGGGAAAAAAGAGTAATCCACTACAATTTTAATGAACTTTGCCTAACCTTGTGGATGCAGTATGTGAAAATAGGGAACAAATCTTACAGCAAGGATCATTTCCACCCCCTTGGTACAGAGGGTCGACAAGGATGGGCAACAAAGACATTGGCTACGCAAAATGGGGGGGTGGGCTACAAAGGTAAAAAATGGCTGGCTTACAAGCTTTCAAGAGGGAGCCTAGTCCCAGGGGCTACAGGGAAAGGTAGAATCTCCATTGAGTGGTTTCCAACCTGTCTGGATGGGGCTGATGAAAGGAAATTGGGATAAGACTCTTGTGGCTCAATAGTGAATGATTGCTATCAGAACTGACTGTGAGTGCTGGAAAGGTAAAAGTAGATGTTTTGTAACAAAAGGTGGGGAGTGGTTGATTTTGCCGTCCAGAAGCGGAGGTCCCTGGGACCATCAAGGGAGAAAAGCAGAGTGCGGGACCATATCCAGAGAAGAAGTGATGCCAAAGATGGAAGCAGAGAAGATGATATGGAGAGATGGAGCAGTTGGGTACTCTAGACTCAGGGAAGGGAGGGGCTGTATGCTGACAGCCAGAGGGGCAGGTCTGTGGGGTGTACCCTTAGGTTGTTTGATAATACATGCAGGGAATTGTAATCATTGCAATGAAACAAAATAAGATAGGATGAATGTAAAGCTAATGTTCTCCCATGTAAACTATCACATAATTCACAATAAAAACTAAATAAAAATTTAAAAAAGACATATCCCCTTCCAAGACTGAAACTCAAAGGGAACATATGAACAGACATGTAAGCTTGCTGGCAACCATGTTGGTCTCCTGGTTCGTGGAAGAGGGCTAAAGGCAGCAATGAAGATAATGGGCTAAATTCGACCATGGTCCATAGACTCCCATCCACCTGGAGATGAGAGAGAAGAGAAGGGGTTGGTTGGTCTGAAGTGTGGTGAGACCTGTGGACTCCTGAGCTCATGGACAAGGACATAGCCACAGAGAGCTAGAGTTGAGAGGGATGCTTCCAGCTGATGTGAAGTGAGGGGAGATGCACAAGGATGCCCAAACTTGTAGATAGTAAGCATTTGACCTGGCTTCTATGGCTTGATGATCAGAACTCAACAAGAGGAAGATAAGGGAAACAAGTGTAAATTGCTACAATTTGATTAACTTGACCTATACTTATGGATGTGGTGGTGGTGGTGGTTTTCTGTGGAGTCGGTTCCGACTCATAGCAACCCTGTGTAAGTCACTGTTTCCGAGGATGTAAATCTTTACGGGAACAGAAAGCCTCATTTGTCTCCCACTGAATGGCTGGTAGTTTTGAACTGTGAACCTTGAGGTTAGCAGCCCAACCCATAACCACTACACTACCAGAGCTCCTTATACTGATGGCTGTAGTAGTGCAAAATACCAACTGAGAAGGAAGGTGTCCTCACATCCAAAATCAATTCCATCCATTCTGTATACAGGCTTGATAGGTCCAGGCAACTTAGACATTAGCTAACTAAAATTGGAGGGGCTTGGTAGCATAGTGGTTACGAATCAGGCTGTGAACCTCAGAGTCAGCAGTTCGAAACTACCAGCTGTTCCACAGGAGAAAGATGAAGCGTTCTGCTCCTGTAAAGATTTACAGCCTCGGAAACCCTGTACATGGTCGCTATGAGTCAGAACCGACTCCACAGCACACAACAACAACAACAATAAAGACATGAAGTGACTGGCTTACAAGTTTTTCAAGAGGGAGTTTAGTTTCAAAGTGGACGGTGAGGTGAGGTAGAATTCCCCACTGAACAGTTTTCATTTTGTCTAGACAGGTCTGGTGAAAGGAGATGAGGATAAGATTCTTATGATTCAATAGTAGGTACTTGTTATCATGACTAATTGCGACTGTTGCAACTGTGTAGGTAGAAGTTTTGTAACAAAAAGAGGGGAGTAGTTAATCTTACAGGAACAGAGAACCCTAAGACCATCAAAGAGGAAAAGCACAAGCAGAATATGGGACCCTATCCAGAGAAGCAGTGACACCAGAGATGAAGACAGAGATGAGAGCATGGAGAGGGAGAGCAGCTGAGGACTCTAGACTCATGGAAAGCGAAAGCCTGTATGCTGGAAGCCAGGTGCTGGTAGCCAGGGGGCAGGCTTGCAGAATGTGCACTTTGGTTGTTTAAATTATTATATATTCCTCAGTGATTTTTTGTACATCGCCCCAAAAAGGGGGAAAAAATAAATAAATAAAAACAGATGGAATAGAAGCAAATACTGTTGAAGATGATGCACAGAAGAGATTGTAATCATTGCAAAGAAATGATGAGTGTAAGACTAATGGTCTCCCATGTAGGCTAATTACTCAAGTCACATAAAAACTTAAAAAAAAAAAAAGAATTGCAGCTTCCAATTGTTAAGAATCTGAGTTAAGAGAAGTAGCAGTTTGGAGGCAGGACAAGCAGAGTCAGGTAGGACTAGCTCCGTGGGAGAGGTGCCAAAAACCCAGGGAAGGTGCTTTTACAGAGCTGCTCCACAGATCTGGATCTAGTATAAGGTTCAGATTGTCAGTTTCCCACAGCCACTGGTGGAAAAAATCACTGTATAAAGGAAAACACTGTGATTCCAGAATCAATCAGGGCTCGGGACTCTGCCTGTAGAGAACTCCCGCCTGGGCTGCATTCAGAGGGCAAGGCCACAGCCAGACTGACACAGTGAAACCCACACAGAAACATTTGAAAAAACAGGAGTGGGGGATTCTACACATTTTTTCCTCCCCTTCCCTGTCGTGCCCTCTCTCCCCACCTTCAGGTGGGTAGGCATGCACCCCCAAAAAGGACCAACATTGAGCCCACAGATTTCCCACTGCACAGAGATGAGGATCCCCACTGGTCCCATGGACTGACCCTTTGGTAGCTGCTTATGATGTCTGTCTCTGGGACCCAGCCCTAAAGTTGACCTGGGCAAGACCTTTTACTCCTGCCACCGGTCGGACAGCTATTGTTTTATTTTTGTTTTGGAGTGGTGGTTTTTGTCACTGCTTTTATACCACTTCTGCTTTTGGTCCTTTTGATCACACTTGTTTCCTGGGGGGTAGGAGCTTTTTCTCCCTATGTTACCAAAGAAGAGACAACAATCATGGCAATATAGTGAAGCTACAATCATACCCCATAATATCTCAGCTGCTAGACATTACACATGAAAATGGAAGCCTATCTCCAAATCATATCCACTAAGAGACACTAGGCAAGCTTAGTAATACAGCAATATCCATCCACTTAAGCATTAAAATTCCACCTAACTACTGAAAATGTCCAGGAAAACACAACAAAAGATCTCAAAACATGTCCAAAAACAGAAAAGAATAACTGAGACAAATGAGCTGAGGCAGGCACAGTATTTCCAGTAGAAGAAGAGCAAGTTTTGGATCCGCATGAGAAGAAATTCAGAAGAATGATATGGAAATAAATTCAAATGTTCCACAAAGGAGTAGAGGAAAATAAGGAAGAATTCAGGTAAGTGCTACAGGAGCAATCAAACAAGATAGATATAGCATTGGAAACAATTCAAAACCTGCAAAAAGAGGTCCAGATAATTATAAATAAAATATCAGAAATGGACAATACACTGAAAGGGCAAAAGAGTAGAACTGAAGAGATGGAAGCCAGAACCAACAGGCTGGAAGACAAATCTCTCAATACTGCTAAGATAAAAGAGCAAGCAGAAAAAAGGATAAAAAAAATCTGAAGAGAGCCTAACATTAATGTGGGATAACATGAAAAGGAATAACAAGAATTATTGGCATCCCAGAACAGGAAGTATCACAGAAGTCCACAAGGAGATAGTTGGGGAAGTACTGGAAGAAAATTTCCCTAACATCTTGATGGATAAGAAAATAAACACTCAAAACACTGAAAGAACTCCAGGAAGGAGACATACCCCACCCCCACCCACACCCCCAAAAAATCACAAAGATATATCATAATTTAGTGCTCCAAAATCAAAGATAAGGAGAGAATCCAAAGAGCAGCCAGGGAAAAGAGAAGTGTTATCTACAAAGGAAAGGATATCAGATTAAACTCTGACTTCTCAGCAGAAATCATGCAGGCAAGAAGGCAATGGGGACACATATATAAAACCCTAAAAGAAAAAACTGCCAACTAAGAATCGTCTATCCAGCAAAACTATTAATCAAATATGATGGTGCAGTCAAAACATGCCAGGATAAAAAGAAGCTAAGAGATTTTGTCAAAACCAATCCAGTGCTTTAAAACATCCTAAAGAGGGGCTTGATGGCGGCTAGAGTGGAGGTGTATTGAAATTCACCATTAGCCATACCACAGAAAGGCAAAGCAGATCCAGGGCAGAGCTCCAAAACTCAGAACCACAATGATAGGAATATTTTTTTTTAATTTGAAGGCTTATAGCTAGTGGAACTTGAAACTGAAGTAAGAAATCACATACTTTTGAATCTGCCAGGCTCAGCAGCCTGGAGCCGACATCTTGGGCAAGACCAAACAGCAAGACACCATGGAAACACCATGGAAACACTGCAGGAACTTTGGAGGAAAGGTGAACAATACACTTTGTCAGTTTTGCTTTGTTCTGATTTTCTTTTTTGGTATCTGGTTATTGGCGCCCCTACTATCTGCACACCTCCATTCTGGTGACAAGAGTCAGAGCCTGAGAGAGTGGACACCCCCAACTCTCACTACTGGTGGGTTCTTCTGCCATACATGCGAACAGATACTCAGCCCAAGAGCAGGCCCTGAACGTTTTTTTCTGTTTTTGTTTTTTTCTTTAATAAGGGAAAGGACAGGACAGGGCTGTGGAGAAGGAAAGAGACTTTAAAAACAAAACAGGCCAAAAATGAAATTAAAGCCTGAGGTATAGCATAACAACCAACAGTGGCATCTTGAAATCTCTCAAGCAGCTTTGAAAGCAAGAAGCTGAAGAGAGGACAATAAAGTCATACTCACATTAGGCTACAGACTTTTTTGTTTCTTCTCTCGCTCTTCTCCCTTTTCTGTGATTATAGACTGCAGTATTCAGTCTAGTTTTTGTTGTTGTTTGGGTTTTTTTTATTTATGCTGGTGCTATTTTGCTGTTTTATGCTCCCCCTTCTACCTTTGGGGAACACTTTGTCTCCCTATATTACCCAAGAAGAGTCAGCAATTGCTGCCATATAGTCAAGCTACAATCACACTCTATAAAACAATAAAACCCAGGTAAGAACCAATACCAACTGCCATATACCAGGGAGGCAGACAACACCTGTGAAAGTTACTCTGAGTTAAGCAATAAGAAGATGGAAAAGGGAAGCCCACATCCTGATCACATCTACCTAGAAGCAATTAGAAAGCATAAAAAATACCAAAACACATACTCAGTTAAGTACTAAGGCCACAGATAAACACTAAACATGTCCAAGAAGCAAGAGCAGATGTTCATATCAGCACATGCCAGAAATAAGATAAAATGTCTGAGACAAATGTCATAGAGGTAGACCTGGAATCCATTCTGGAAGGAGGGCAGTCCTTGGAAATGCCTGAGAAGGAATTCAGAAAAATGATTATAAAATGTTTCAAAACACTTTACAATGGAGCTGAGAAAAATAAGGAAGAAGTCAGGAAAGTGCTACAGGAACAATCAAATAAGATAGATATAGCATTAGAAACAATTCAAAATCTACAGAAAGAGGTCCAAATGATCAATAATAGAATATCCGAAATAGACAATACTCTGAAAGGGCAAAGGAGTACAATATGACAGATGGAAGGCAGAAACAGTGAGGTGAAAGACATATCTCCCAATACCACTAAGAAGAGCAAACAGAAAAAAGGTTAAAAAATCTGAAGGTCTAAGATTCATGTTGGACAACATGAAGAGGAAAAACAATAATTATTGGCATTCCAGAACAAGAAGAATCACAAAGTGCACAGAGGTAATAGTTGAAGAACTGTTGGAAGAAAAATTCTCTAACATCCTGAAAAGTGAAAAGATAAACATTCAAGAACCTCAACGAACCCCAGGAAGGATAGACCCCAAAACAAAATCACCAAGACATATCATAAGCAAGCTCTCAAAAATCAAAGCTAAGGAGACACTCATGAAACCATCTAGGGAAAACAGAAATGTTACATACAAAGTCAAGCAAGTCAGACTAAGTTCAGATCTCTCACAGGAACCATGCAAGCAAGAAGGGAACTGGGAGACATATATAAAATCCTGAGAGAAAAAAATTGCCAACCAAGAATCCTTTATCCAGCAAAGCTATCAATCAAATATAATGGTGAAATCAAAACATTCCAGGATTAACAGAAGCTGAGGGATTTTTGCCAAAACCAACCCTGCACCACAAAACATCCTAAAGGTAGTTCTGTGGACTGAGAACCAACAAGAACAAACAACAACCAGAGAATGACATACGTGGCAGCACCTACCAGAATTAAATTGACATAAAGAAGAGTCGAGAACAGAACAAAACTATAAGAACAAACTCAGAGAATCTGGGAGGTCAGTCTATGATCAAAACAATTACAATGTAAAAGAAGGTAAACACGTAGAAACAGAGATCCAGATGGTGAGAAGCTCGGGTAGATTACAGGATAAAATAGACTGCACTAAATGGAGAGAAAAGTTAATGGACTATAGGCAACCTCAAAGAAAATTAACACTTCACAACATACCAAGAGAATGAAAATCCAAGAAGAACACGGAAACATTAAAACTATGAGGAAACTCACAAGAAAGAATACACAAAGCATGAACTCAACAAAGGAAGACACACAGAACAAAACAAGCAGCTACATCACAAAAAAAATACAACCATAATGATAGTAATTAATCCATACCTATCAATAATTACAATGAATGTAAATGAGTTAAATGCACCTGTTAAGAGACAGAGAGTGACAGAATAGATAAGAAAACAAGATCCTTCAATATGCTTTCTGCAAGAGACACATGTCACACACAGAGACAAAAACAGATTAAAAGTCAAAGGATGGAAAAAAATATACCAAGCTAATTGCAATAAAAAACAAACAGCAGTGGCAGTACTAAACTCTCATAAAATAAACTTTATGGCAAAAACAAGCATAATAGATAAAGATGGACATTATCTTATGATTAAAGGGACAATTGAACAAGAAAACATAACCATAATAAATATCTATGTTCCCAATGAAAGAGTTCCAAAATATATATAGCAAACTCTAATAGATTTGAAGAAAGAAATAGATGAATCTACAATAATAGTGGGTGATATTTATACACCGCTTTCAAAAATGGATAGAATAACCAGAAAGAAACTTGATAAAGAAACAGAAGAACTAAATAACACAATCAGCCAACTGGACCTCACAGATGTGTATAGCACATTCAACCCAACAACTGCAAAATACACATTCTTTTCCAGTGCATATGGAACATTCTCCAGAATAGACCATGTCTTAGGCCACAAAACAAATCCCCATAAATTTACAAATATCAAAATACTACAAAGCATCTTCTCAGACCACAATGCTATCAAATTAGAAGAAATCAACAATAGCAAGACCAAGGAAATCAAGTCAAATATATGGAAATTGAATAACACCCTGCTGTAAAATGACTGGGTAGAAGAAATAAAACATAAATTCAAAAAGTTCCTAGAAAGAAGTGAGAATGAAAACACAACATACCAAAATCTTTGGGACACAGCAAACGCGGTGCTTAGAGGACAATTTATAGCAATAAACGCACACATCCAAAAAGAAGAAGAAAACAAAATTAACACATTAACACAGCATCTACAACAATTAGAAACAGACCAACAGAGCGAACTCACAGCCACCAAAAGAAAAGAAATAAAAAAGATTAGAGCAGAAATAAATGAGATAGAAAAGAGAAAAACTATAGAAAGAATCAACAGGACAAGAAGCTGGTTCTTTGAAAGGATTAACAAAAGTGACAGACCATTGGCAAACCTAACAAAAGAAAAGAGGGAGAAGATACAAATAACATGCATTAGAAACCACATGGGCGATGTCAGAATGGAACCAAAAGAAACCAAAAGGATAATAACAGAATAGTATGAAGAGTTGTATTCCAACAAATTTGAAAACTT